GTGCTAAGTGAGTTAATTGCATCGGGGAACTTTAGGATTTCATAATATTGCCGTTTAAGTCCACAGCAGGTGAATTGTGAAGAAATGCAACTTTGGGTCTTTTTGCTGCTCATAGGAATGGGGCCAGACCAAGCCTCCCATTGCCTGAGGCTGGAGGACACACTCCTCCTGCAAGGGCCAGGGGTGCGGGCTGCTTTCGCCGTGCGTAGGGGGCACAAGCCCCCTGGTGACGCCTTCCCAACTGCTGAATCTGAGTGCCTTCCTTGCTTTGGTGGGGTCTTTCCTCAAGCTGAGCAGGCTCTGTGGAGAGTTGAGCTGACCATTTCCTGTTGCGGCATGGCTGGGTGAGGGGGGGTCCAGAGTGCCTCCCCACCCAGTACCCCATTCTGAGGGGGCCTCAGACCGAGGCTTGGGTGGGCAGTGTTCTGAGGAGTTATGCTGGATTTACTTGCGGCAGCAGGATTGGCGGCCTGGCCTTGCATGCAAATGTGGAGGTGTGACACTTTTTCAGTGTAGCCCATGATTAAAAAATAAATAAAATAAAAATAGAAATTTGAATTTCAGTTAGACAGGTATACATGATCATATTATGAATATTTTTGAGGCAGGATAAAATGATTCCAAACAATTTACAGTGATTATCATTCTCCAATCAATCTTCTGAAGCTTTTGAAAATGCAGACTAGGAATCTAAATTAACTTGTAATTGCAGAGGGATAAACATAGCTTCTTGCAGGTTTGCTTCCATTGATTGGGTGGTCTTCAACTAATTTGCATCCTGATTTAAATCTTGCAGAGTCTCATGTCTGTTTCTGGTGGTGGTGGTGTTGCTTCTCGAACACCTGTAAGTCATACCTGGGACAGAAATGATACTGGAATTATATGGCATGTGGCAGCCTTCTCCAACCTGATGCTTTCCAGGTGTTTTGGACCACAGTTCAGATGCAGCCAACATGGCCAATAATTTATGGTTCAAAACATCTGGAGGGTACCCGGTTGAGAATTTATAACCATTCAAAGGATTTGTAGATTTATTTCTTCTTGTAAAAATGGTCAAGTTAGCACCAGACCTTTTATGTGTTTCTGATTTTTCTCCAGTTTGCCTTGAGATCTGGTCTCTTCTGGGATAGTGGAGTTAGATGGGAGATTAGTTTGATCTGATCAGCTCTAACATTTGTAAGGAGTTCCCAATGTTGTTTTTGTTTTAACAAACATTCAGTCATGCTCCTTTTGGGGGCACTTGCTGAGCTTCAGGGGCTACTGCCTTGTGTGCTGGTCTCCAGCGAAGGTTATTGACACTGGCTGCTTTTGAAATGCTGCATTTTGCATCCAGGGGCATTCCCAAATCACAGCCGCATTAGCTGCCACAGCACAGCAGGGAAGGGGAGAGAACTATTTTGGTAGAAATATGAATGCTTCCATTGAAGTTTGGTTGTTGATGTCAGACAGACACTTGGGGAAACATCTGTGTCTTGCAGGAAAAGGCAGCCTCAGGGTCCCTGTAAAAGGGGGGCTATGGTTAGACATACTTTGGCAGAAATTTGGACTTTTGACTACCCAAGCATCTTGGAGATGACTCAGAGGGGTCGTTGCTCAGTAGTAAAGTGCATGGATCTGTGCATCTCCAGGTAAGGAAGGAAGAAGCTGCTGTCTGAGACCCTGGAGAGCTGCAGGATTCTGTAGCAACGGTTCTGAGATGGAGGGACCTGGGACAAGGCAGCTTTCTATGTTCTAGCAGTCCAGTGGCAGTGGAAGAGCAAGGCAGAGGGAGCAAATTTTTCAAATAAATATATGCTGTCAAAGTAGAAGGCTTGCTGTGTTTGTGAAGTACTCTTGCTAATGCTTGACACCAAGTGCACATCAAAAGTGGACTGGGATACAAGGCAATCGTGCTGTGCTTCCCTTGGCCATTTCCCAGAACCCTGTTCTGAGGATACTTTGGCTGTAGTGTTAAGACTAATATATTTGGGGAAGGATTTGGTTGCTAGGACTGTGTGCTGTTGAGAGGCAGTGATTTAAACTTGTTTAACACTTACAAATTAATTTAATTAGTTGTGCTACGAGAATATCTGAGATTTTGGCAGGGGAAAATATATACCCTGAAAACACCCACATGATCTACACATAAGCATGTTATGAAGAAGTTTAGTAAAAATGCTCAGGATTTCTCCAGTACTTCTTTACATTCTGCCCAGCAAAAGCCCGTTTTAAACACCAAAACCCAGCTTGAATGAAAGGTTGGTATGGTGTTATAACATAAATGAAGTGTTCTTTTGGTAGCTTTTTAGATGAACTATAATCAAGGACTTTGTATCTACTGTAAATGAGATGTTCTTGTTTAGAGTCTGCTTTCCTAAATTACTTTTGAGACTGGGCATACAACTAATTGTAAGACCTTATTAAAGCATGTTAATCTGCTGACCCTTCAAGGCAGGGTAGAGGCATTGGTGCCTGACGTAACTAGGCAGAGATTAAGAGGAAATGGCAGGTGGAGTGGGGAAGGTAAAGAAGAAATACTGCTTACAGTGAGGTGCATAAGAAGTGGAAGTAGTGGCAAATGTAGCCAGGGAAGAGTGAAAAAAATCATGGCATTCATTTCTTTGCTGCACATGCAAGTTAACCATTTTAGCCTGGGGGGGGAGGGGTGAACTTGAGGCCCATGGGCCAAATCCCACCAACCACACTAGTTCCCCAGTTTTCCAGCTTTTGCAGTTTCCTCCCATTCTGAAAAGGGTGAAATGCCTCCATTGAAGGCCTAGTTACTGGTAATTAGAATTTTATGCTAAAATATGTTGGTCTTCTCTGACCCCTACCCCATTGCACTGCTCTTTAGCTTTCTGAGCCACTGGAATGCCTCTCTCGGGAGCTTCTCTAATACTGAATTCAGTATTGGGCTGAAAGTAGTTCAGCCCTCCTCTTTTAAGCACTCTGCTGTTCACAGCAAAGATGGATAAAAGTTGCGCAGTTACTGCTGCATTGGTGAGGGTGTTAGTAAACACCAAACTAGGGGGTACTAGCTTGTTCAGAATAGCACAGGATAGGATCCAGATTTATACTGGATCAGCTGGACTTCCCCTCCTCCTCCTTCCAATGGCAGCCCCTCCAGCTTCCTGGAAATGCTACACAAGAGGGTCAAGAGGTTTTGTTGGGTGTGGGCTGGGGACCCACACGGACTTCCTACAAGTAGAGCATTTCTTGTGCTGTGGTGGGAAGTCCCTTCCAATTGCAGAAGAAGAATGCAGGTCCTGGATTTGACCCTCAGCCTCATTCTTGAGCACAGCCCTGAAGAGCTGAGAGAGGTTGTGCACCAGAGCCGTGTGACATGAGGTGTAGCCACAGGCTGAATGGTGATGACCAAGCCAGGCAGTGCATGTGGCACCTATGTAAGAAGACGGGGCATCCTGGCAGCCCATTACCAAGCCATGGGGACACTGACGCACCACTTACACATCCTGGCTTGTGACAGTTAATCATGTACTGGAGAAACTAAGGCTCAAGTGTGTTCCCCAGCACATGTGACTGAAGTATCGTGATGAGGAAGGGGATGAAACAAGCGCAACCTCTTTCCCACTGCTGTGAGAATGAGGTGTTGGGTACTGTCATGTAGGAAGGAAATTGGCAGTACTATTTACAATCTCATATAGATCTATGGTGAGATCACACTTAGAATCCTGCATACTGTTCTGGTCGGCATAAAAAAAGGATTTTGAAGAACTGGGAGACGTACAGAGTTGGAGGAACTCCCATATGAGGAAAGCGTGTAACAACTGAGGTTGTTTAGCAGGTTGAGAAGAAAAGTAAGGGGTGGGACTATAGAGGTGTACTGAATGCACAGAGACCTTTTTGCTCCCTTTTTCATCACACCAGAACCCGAACGGGCATGCCACGAAGCTGGTTGTTACTGTGGAATTCACTTCCGCAAGATATTGCGGATTCCACAAGGCCACCAGTGTGGATGGCTTTCAAAGGGGGACTGGGCAAATTCCTGGAGGTGGTGGCTGTCAATGGTGGCTGGTGGCTATTAGCCGCCTCCACTGTCAGAGGCAGTTTCTGGGGGACATGTTGCGGCACTCACACGGTGCTTGTTGGCCACCGGATGGACCCTTGGCCTGATCCAGCAGGGCTCCTCGTATGTTGCGGCCCATGCAGGTGAATGCACCCTGGACAATACCAACACCCGCTGAGCAGGAGGGGAAGGTCTCCAATTTTACCCCGCCTCCTAAAGTTGTTGTTTAAACTGGAATCCTCTCGGCTAGGGTTTCATGTTGTTTTAGCAATGCGTGTCGGGGGAGAAAAAGTAGAGGGTTCTAGTCTGGCGTCATGAAAATTTACCACAAGTTCCTCTCCCCCGCCCCCATTTCTGAATCGCTAGGTGGTAGTCGCCTACTCTTTCTAGAGGGAGATCAACAAGGGCTTGCGAGAGCTCGAAAGTATGGAATGTTCCACCGCGCATTGCTCTCCTAAAAAGGGGGGTTAGTGGAATAGTGGGGGGAGCTGGAATGTGGGACGCTCCAACGTTCTTTCGGCCGCCGTTGGGCTCGAACAGGAGATGCGGCCCCTGAGGGGAAGGCGAGCCTCCCGAGGCTGCTCCCCGAGGGGGCGGGAAAGGCCCCCGCTGTCGCCGGGCCTCGCTTGCCTGTGAAGGGGTTAATGGGCAGGGACGGCGGCAGCGGCGAGGCCGGCCGGCTAGCCAGCCCGCCGCCCGGCCCGGCCCGTCCCCTCCCCTCCGCCCCCCTCCCCTCCGCCAGCCGCCTTCCTCGGAGCGCGCGGCGAGGCGCCGCAAATCGAGCCCGCTCGCGCCAGGCCGAGCATCTGCAGGCGGCTCCGCAGCGCCGGCCGCTCCCCTTGCAGCCTTCTGCGCTGCCCCGCCGGCCCTTCCCCGCATCGCGTGAACGCCGGTGATGCCGCCGCGGATCCGGTGAGTCCGGCGCCTCTGGATGCTGCTGCCGCTGCTGACCCCGCCGTCTCTCTCTTGTGTCTCCTTCCCCGCCCTCCTGCAGGCAGCTCCTCCTCAGCCCCCGGCCGCTTCCGAAGGGATGCTGGAAAAACTGGAGCTCGAGGATGAAGGTAAGCCGAAGATGCTGCCGCAGCCGCCGGCACAGGGCGCGGAACTGGGGGTGGCAGGCAAGGCAGCCAGACACGGACGGGGAATGGGCTGAGGCGTCCCCAGAAACGGGAGATCCCTTCAGAATCGCACGCCACACACCCAGCAGCCCGCCCGGAAGAGACTGGAAAGGACTGGTGGAAACATGCGGCCGTTTCCCTGCACCTTTTTCCTGCTGTCGTGCGTGGTTAAAGGCGCGCTAGCTCTCGATAGGCAGGCCTGGTGGGTACCTTAGCGCAGGTTTCTGACCACCTTCATGCACGCACACCGGGCAGCCTGTGCACCTGTCCTTTGGTATACGAGGCCATGCGGACCACTAAGCTGCTTCGGGGTGCCAGGGGTAGAGTCAGCGTAGAGTGAGGGGTGGATTGCTACTTGGTAAACTGGTTGTATATGCACCATATTATGATGTTGACTCCTGTGAAGGGAGTCGCGGTATATAATTTAGCAAAAACAGTTGAATTGGAAGCCAGACATGAGGGACATACTGTTAGTTAAGAGTGTAAGCAACTTCTGTTTTATCCTGCTAAATGGTTGTGAGATACTTAATAGAATCTAGTCCAGATATGTGGTAAAATCAGGGCTAAAATGGAATCAGTCTCCTTTCTCTACATTTGACAAACATTCAGACAGACTATAATCAAGTCCTATTCATGTGAACTAGTATGTTTGTTCTCCAGTGCTGTGAGCATACATGAGTTCCATAAGCAATGTTCCCAAGGAGTTTACAATCTAAAATAATTACCCCTTAATGCTAGTAACAGAGGCCCCTCATGGAGGGGAATTTCACTGGACACATCAGTGCTGTGATACAGCAAGCTGTACTTGATCACATTTCCTGGCTAAAGATTCATGTATCTTATTGTCTGTTGCATTGATTTATCCTGCCAGCACCTTTTTAATTCCCTGCCCTGTTTGGATTTGGAAATCTAGGGAATAGGTTGAATTCTATTGCATCAATTTGGTGTACAGTAGTGTTAAGTGATTGTTCTAAACTCATAATGTTGAATTGAAACAACTATTTATATAGTGGAACATGGGATACATGGACTTCAATACCTGCAGTCAACCTAGTAATACAATGCATCCTCACAGTACAGTGTTCCCCAAGGCAGCTTTCCACCAATTTGCATAAAAGCAAGCTGATTTTCTGACATCACCTGTGTCCAAAGAATAGATGTGTTTTATGCACAGGATCTTTTCTAGCTCTGTAGAATAGGTTTCTCCCCACAGTCCCATAAATCCTCTTAGTGACTAGGTCTTTTGTCTTGAATGCACTCTAGACCAATGTTCTTTCACTTTAGTGTTTAAACACACTGAACAGGCAAACTGCCACATGCAGCTTTGAGTGCTCAGAGTAATCTTTCTGATAAATGTACAGATCCTCCTTGACAAGGTAGTTCTTCTAATTATAACCTTGTAAGAGGAGTAGCTCATCCTGAGGTTGTCTGATCAAAATTATAAAAAGATTTGGAGTAATGGTGTTTCAGATGCTATTATGCTCATATGGGCTATAATGTTCTGGATAAAAGACGAGTGACTTTTGAAATAAGGGACATCTGGCACTCTTTGGTTCTTTTCCTCTAGAGGTTTTTAGAGTATCTCTGCACAGGCTAATGATACATAGAATTATGCTGAGCAGTCACTCCCATAGAGTCCACTAAAATGCCCAAAGTGTTCACTGCTGCATTGAGCTGTATAAAGAAGGTGCACCAAGCCCTCTTAGGAAGGATTGTGAAATTTCTATCCGTTCTTGAACAGTGGCCATTCTTGAATAAAAATCCATTGAGTTTTGGCATATTTCTTAGAAAGAAATACGCAAAACCACAGTAACAGTAGCTCAGCTAGAATACATACAAGGAGTTATGAAAAGTAGCACTAAGTCCAAAGGAGTTACCAGCATGGATAATGAGCAGTGTCAACGAAGCTGTTAGAGAAAAGTGTGTTTTCAAAAAATAGAAGTCTTGCTCAAATGAGGAAAACAGAAGGTAGCATGAGTTTATAAAAGGAGATGCAAGCAGACAATAAGAGATACAATAAGGCATTGTAAGGAGCACACCACTAGTATCATCCATAAAGAATACTTTCGATATATAAGATGCAGGAAACCAGCTAGGGATGCTGTTAGACAGTAGTGATTGAAGGAGTTCTAAAGGATAATAAGGAGATTGTAGGGAAGCTGAATGAATTATTTTCATGTTCTCTTGCAAAGGATAAGGATAGATACCTGTACCTGAACTGATGTTTTCAGGTACAGGTATCTATAAGACAAATAAGACAAATGGCAGTAACAAAAAATGAAGTTCTTAACCTTAATGACAAATTGAAAGTCAATATAACACCAACCCCAGATGTTATCCACCCTAGAGTTCTTAAGGAACTCAAATATGAAATTGTTGCTTTTCTAACAAAAGTATGTAACATGTCCCTGAAACCAGCCTCTGTATCAGAGGGCTAGAGAATGGCAATGTAATACCAGTTTCTGAAAAGAGATTCAGGGGACAGCTAGGAAATTTAGAGGCTTGTTAGCTTAATGTCTCTTCTGATAAATTGAGTAAAAAATATAGTTAAAGATAAAATTAATATGCATTAAAGAATCAGCTTTGCTGAAAAATAAAGATGGCTTCCACAGAGGTATATCCTGTCTCACTATCTTTTTAGTGTTCTTTGGACGTTTTAATATACATATGACTATGAGTGATCCAGTATAAATTATTTACTTGGACTTCCAGAAGGCATTTGTCAAAGTTGCTCACCAAGAGCAAACTTAACAGTGATGGAATAGGAGGAGAGATCCTCTTTTAGATTAGTAATTGGCTGAAGAACAAAGCAGAGAGTTAGGAATGAATAGTAAATTCTCCTAATGGAGGGATGCAAATAATGGGTTTCCACAGGGGTCTGCTTTTCAGCTTAAAAGATCTGGAATTAGGAGTGAGCAATGAAGTTGGCAAGTTTGCTGATGATTATTATATCATCTAAACTGACAAAATGGGCACCGAAGTGGCAAATGTGATTCTGTGCAAGCATGTATTTATTGAGGCATCTTGGAGCAAAATGTCTCAACTATAAATATAAACTGATGGCTAACAGTGACAGACCAAGAAAGTGATGTTGGGGTTGTGATGGATAGCTCAATTAAAATGTTGACCCAATGTGAAAAGGCAAATTCAATTTTTGGCATAATTAGGGATAGAATTAAAAATAAATCTGCCACAGACAAATCCCTCTTATGCAGGTCTATGGTGTAACCACTTAGAATACCATGTACAGTTCTGGTCACCACACAGAAAAAGGAGCATTGTAGCATTAGAGAAAGTGCAGAAAAAGGAAAATAATCAAAGGGCTAGAGAGACTCCCTACAAAGATACAAAATCTGAGACTGTTTAGAAAAAAAGTAAGTAAAGGGAGACATATCAAAAATGGAGAAAGTGGATGGAGAGACATTTCTCCTTCTAATAATACTAGACTCTGGGGTCATCCCATCAGCCTGAATGGTGCAGGATTCAGGACAATAAAAGGAAGTTAGAAGTATAGAATTCAGGTCCACAAGATGTAACAATTATCAGTCTTTTAAAATGGGATGAATATTCATGGAGGAGAGAGCTATTAGTCTATAAGCTACCTCCTTTATTAGAGGCAATATACCTATGTACACCAGTTGCAAAGAAGTCTGGGCAGGAGGATGCCGTCCTGTGGGCAACTGGTAGCCACCGTGTAAACCAGATGATGGATTGGATAGACCTTTGGTCTGATCCAGCATGGCTTTTCTTTATTGCTTATGTTGGTGACTGTCACACCTCCCTCAGGAGAGCATTTCAGAATCAGAGACCATCACAGAGAAGACCTGCTCTTTTGCTTAATATATTTCTCTCACTGATGATGCTTGCAAAGAGGGCTTTCTCAGAGTTCTTAATGCACAGGGTGATTGATATGGGAAGAGCTGCTTCTGCATATACTTGGGCCCAAGTTATTTAGGGCTTGTGTCGGGCTTAATAGTGGATGGGGAGCCAATGTGGTGTGACATGGGTCCACCTGGGTAAAACTCTCACATTTCTAGATGTTGTATTCTGCATTAGTTGACATTCCCAAACAGTCCTCTAGGAAAGCCTCAGATTTAAGGCATGACTGTAATCCAGTCTGAACATTATCTGAAATGGACCATTTTGGCAAGTGTATCATGTGTTTACCAATCTTAAATGCAAGATGGAAATCTTGAAATTGAATTATGTAATGGAATCTATATGTATAGGTACTACAGTACCATCATGTTCTGAACTTTGGAATTGCATTCTTAATTTAGTACAGGCATTGTTTTTTCAGAAGGCCTTCGGTAACTTTTCTTACTGAATATACTATGTAAACCCACTACATTGTGATTTTTGGATTGCCATCCTTCATCATACTCTGCATGGGAATGGTGGTTGCCATCATCCTATGATGAAATCAGTACAGATGCATTTGGTTCCTGGAATAGACCACCTCATGAAGGAGATCTGGTTTTGTATTATTTCTGCTTGCATGGTAGTTAGTGAAATCTTTGTGCAGACTAGTCTTTTTGATTTTTCCAAAGGAATGACTGTAGAAATCACAATGAGTGGTAAACCTGGATGAATTACTTCTGCTTTGAATGGTCTCAGGAGTTTGCATTTCTGGATGATCTTTTCATAGCAGCTATACATTTTTAATTTCAGCTCAGGATAATGCTTTAAAAATGCTAAAGCTTGGCTCTTAGCTTTGGTTATTTGCTAAAGTAAAGGAGCAAACTATAGTAACTGTAAATATCCCTTATTCTTTCCCCTCCTTAACGTATTCATTTAACTTTTTCTAAACTTCTAAAATTGGTTAGTTCTCAAGCACAGGGAGAACAGAATTCACTGGAACTAAACCTCTCCTTTCTTCCATTCTGCTCTTTCTGATCAAGTTGGCTAGCACTCCAAGAGTGGTTAATGTTTATATTTGACTA